AATAAAAATTTTTATATTTAAATAAATTTTAATATCTAATAACTTAATTAAATAAGATAGAATTAAAATTTTATTTTAAAAAAATGATCTATTAATATTTATTAATATATTAATCTTTTTATATCAAACTATATTATAAAATTATTCTTTAAAATTATTTTTAAATTATATAATTTATTCTTAATAATAATTTTTAATAAAAATATAAAATTTATTAACTAGTTTTAAAAGTTATTAAAATATTAAAAATTTATATAATATATAAATAAGTTTAATAAAATAAAAATTTAGCAATTAAATTTATTAATTACTATTTTATTATTAAATAATAATATTATAATTTCATGAAAAATTAAGATAATATAATTAAAATTATTAAAAATTATTAAAAACTTAAAATAAATAAATAAAATATATTAAATAAAAAAAATTTTCATTTTTCTTTTTACTTATAATATTAATAATTTTATAAATAAATAAAAAATAATCAAAAAATTTATATTTAAATTTATTAAATTCTTTTAAATTATTAATAAAATTTCTTCTATTATTTATGAATTATAATTATTATAAAATATAATAATATATATAATATTTTATATTTTTTATTAAAGAAATATAATTCAAAAAATAAATTTAACTAATTATATCTTTATTTACTATTTTAAAGCTTAATATTTTTTTAAATAATTAAATTATTTTTTATATAATAATATATAAAAATTTTTAAAAATCTGAAAATATTATAAAAAAATAAATATTTTTAAAAAGTTATATATTTGATTATAATAAAAATATTATATTTTAAATAAAAAATATAAAATAATTTAAATTGAATTAATTTCTTTTAATTTAATAAATAAATAATAAATATATATATTTTTTAAATAATTTTTTATAAAATTATAATAAATTAAAAAGTTAAGTTTTTTTATTACTAACTATATATAAGTTAATTTTTATTAATTATTAATTAGAAAAATAACTTTTTTAAAAAAAATTAAAAAATATATAAATTAAAAATAAAGAATTTTAATTCTATTTTAAATTAAAATAAAAATAAAATTAATATTTTTTTATATAATAAATATTTTATATATTTTACTAATTATAATTAATAAAAAATTAAGTATTTTAAGTATTTTATTAAATCTCAAGAATTATTATATATTTTAAAATTATTAATTTTTAAAAATTTAAATTTAAATTTAATAATTTATTTATTATATTATATTAAATTTTTATTTAAAAGATTAATAAAATTTTTTAGAAGTTTAAATTAAAAAATTTAGTTATAAATAATTAAATATAATTAATTTTAATATATTTACTATTATTTTTAATTTATATTTTATTTATTATAATTAGTATTTATCTAATTTTAATAATAATAATAATAAATTATTAACATAAATTATAATTTTTTATTTTATAATAAGTTTTATAATAAAAATATTAAATATTTAATAAAATAATATATTTAAAATAAAATAATTTTTTAAATTAAAATTATTAATTTATTATTTAATATTTAAATATTTTTATAAAAAATTTATTTTTAATATTATATTTATTTTAAAAATAACAAAAATTTATAAAAAAATATCAATATTTAAAATAATAATTTATTTTAAAGTTTTTAATTAAATACTATATATAATATTTAAATCTAATTAAAAATAATATGATTTTTAAATTAATAATTAATAATATATATATTTTATAATAAATAAAATTTTTCTTTTATTAATAAATATTTTTTTATTATAATATATATTTTTTTAAATATTTTTAAGATATTCTAATTATATATAAAGTTAATTAATTTTATTAAGTAATAATTAATAAAAATTAATTGATTTTATATAAAATTATAATAACTTTCTTATAAAAATTTGAAAAAATATATATTAAATTAGAAAATTTTATTTTATTAATAATTATAAATTATAAATATTTATTAATAAAATTTAATATTTCTATATAAATTAAACATATCTATTTTACTAATTATAATTAATAAAAAATTCAAGTATTATATTATTTTTAATTTATATATAATCATATCTTTTTATTAAAAATACTTATTAAAATTATTTTGAAAAATATCTAAATATTAAAATTTAAAAATTATATTAAATTATATTAATATTTAATTATATTAAAAAGTTATAAGTTATCAAAAAAGAAAATATTATTTTCAAATTTTAAAATTTTTTTAAATAAATAAAAATAAAAATTATAAATAAATTAAAATTTAGAAACTAAAATAATAATTTTTTATTTTTCTTAGTTTTCTAAATTTGTTTTTAAAAAGATCTAATTTTAAAGTTTTTAAATTTGTTGGTAAATAATATTGAATTATATAAATAAAATTTAAATTATATACAATACAAATATAAATAATTAAATATATTTCAATGAACTTGTTTTTAATTTAGTATATCATCATGTTAAAGATACAACAAAAAAAAACGCATTATTTAATACCATAATGAATATATCATGAGTTTATAAAAATTAACTCGAAACCTTATAACGAATACAATAAGTAATACATGTAGTTAGTACATGTAAACGTAAATGTATTTTATTATAATTATAAAATATTTCTTGCTTGCAATTTTCTTCTTCAAATGCATGGTCTAACTTAAGTTCCAAGCTTCTAAGATCTTTTATAAAGGCACACCTTCCTTAAAAGCACTTATCTGTATCTAAAAAAATTAAGCCTGGTGCTTTATTAATCACAAAAGTAAATTTTATTAACCGGCTAGAAACACAGATGGCATTAGTATAGTATAAACAAAGTAAAGTATCTATAATCGTCTAAAATCATTAAAACAAAATACGTCATCGAATATGCGAAACATTTGTCCATTAATGTTATTTGATACATAAATTTTAAGAGAGTTGAATTAACGAAGTACCATTAGTGCTTGAGATTAGAACAATAATAAGGAGATAAAAGTGGTAACAAAGCAGAATGCACCCCAAAGGTGATTACTGTCGAGATTGGTTGCAACATTTTTTGTTGAAGATGGTGTGGCACTTTCAGATGAGCCAGTGGAACTAGCTTTAGTAGTGGTTGCGGCGGCGGAAGTGGCTGACGTAGTGCCAGTTGAAGATGAAGTGGTTGTAGTGGATGTATGCGATGATGTGGCACTGGCGGCATTACAATAAGAATCCAATGATCCCTGCACACCATTAGCAGTAGATTGGGATGTTGGGTCGCTGGGACATTGTGCATAACAAGTGAGCAATGCTAAATGAAGGAAAGAAAGAGATTAGAATTTCAACAATTTGTTAATGCGAATTAATTACTTTAACCAAAAACAGAACTCACCCTGATATTTCTCACAGAGGCAACCGTAATCAGCAGCACTACAAGTACTCACAGCGGCTTTTTCAGTTGAGACACATGAATCTAGGTTTGCTTGAGCAGCACAAGCTGCTTCGCTATAAGGGACGTATGCGATAGCGAGTAAAACTACAAATGCTGCGAAAATATATTTCATTTTGTTTTTACTATAAAAATATTAATGTGTCGTCTGTATTAGGAGATTTAATAAGTTAGTTTTGTGTTTTTAGGTGGGTGGGGAGGCGTGTGCGTAAGAGTGTTTGCTCGTTAGATTGAATAAAAAAAATTAACATATACGAAACAACCAAAAGCACTAAAGAAAAAAAAAAAAAAAAAAAGGAAAAGGGAAAAATGTCGGAATTTATTCAAGAATGGGAGCGTACGTTTGTATTGTATCAATATTAAATAATGATAACGAGGAAGACAACTGAAGTAAGCTCATACTCAACCCCGTACTGCACTGCACTGCAAAGCAACTTCTCTGTAGTAAAAACTTGCATCTTCAGAGAAAAAATCAATACAAATATTGTCCTATTATAGTTTAGGTTGCTAGAACACAGGCCAATCACTAAGAATTATTAATTTTGCACATTGGCAAAAATTTATTTTCTGTCATGTTTCACGAATTAACCAAAAGTTTCCTTGTTCAGTAAGTTTAGTAAACAACTTGAATCTGTGTACATCTACTTATAACGATTACACTAATTTTCCCCCTTACAATATCGATATACGCTACACTATGTACAAGTTGACAGTTTTCTGCAAGTGAGACATTGTTCCTGCCTCTTTTGGGTGTTGTAAGTCACACTATCGCTACGAAATTTGTCTTCGAGGGCGTTAAAAAATTCGCATTTTAATCAACCGCAATATTTTAATTTGACAAAATCTTTTCTTTAAAATGTTGTTGCTTTTGTTTAACGTTAATAAATGTTATGCATTAAAATACAATGATCTTATATTTATCTATTTTTATACACAAACCTCGCAAATACAATACATGTACTATGTAATATTACAACATAATTTTATTTTTAGTCTATGCGAAATACTTGTATTTAAGCTAATCCGGCTCATTTAAGATTCAAATAGAGTGAATGATATGACACCATTTTTAATTTACATATGAATCATTTATAAGATATATTTGTAGAAAAGAATGAAAATAGCTAGTACATCTCTTCTTAATTCACACACATCCAAAAAAATTGTTTATTCGGATGAATCCAATACCGGAATCAAGTACGTCATACAAAGTAACACACACTTTTAAATATGCAAGTTTCAAGAATATGCATCATTATATATGATTTTTTTACATGGCATGTAAATAACTACATGTATTATCGTTATGTCATCACATTTCTTTGATGGCATATCCTTGGAACTTGCTACATGTATATCGCGCTACAGTAGAACTACATGTACATTTTAAACTTAAGAAATGTGACTTATTTCAAATGTCAATTTTATCACATGATGTGGTTACAAAATGTATTATATGTATTTTTCTATCGCTACGGTTCTAAAAATGAAATAAAACAATAAAAAAAAAGAAATTGTCCGTCTACTAAAATCTCATAATTCTTGACTTAAACTTATTCATTGACATAATAGTAATGACTTTGTAAAAAAAAGCAAAATTATCGAAGAAATTTGGTTTGTCATATCAGGCATTGCGATATTGCTATGGCAATATTGTCAGCGGCATCTGGATTTCTCTATACAATTGAGGGTGTGATCGTGAAAGCTTCTTGTACATATTTAAATGGAAAAGGGATCAAACTGCAACTATCTGTTAATGAAAAATTAAACTTATATAACGTAAGACGAAATTCACCGCAGAGACAAATTTTCTTTTAGCGAGTCTATACTTTTTAGCATGTGCCTTCAGCTACACAATTGTTTTTTCCATAAAGAACTTAAGTGATTTTAAGTAAACTACATCTTCATTTTTATTTTTTAAAAGTATTTGAATATTTAATAAATGTGTCGGAAAGTGTGGGTGTGTGTTTGTTATAAGTATTGAATAGCATATACGAAACAGCGAAATTTTCTAAAGAAACATTTTTGTTTATATGTTGCATCCTACTCTCTTTATGCTTTTTAACATTTAATCAAGCTTAGTAAAGCGGGTCGTCATAAGGATCCGGAATTCAACCTTATAGTAAAAAACTTTAATTTATTATTTTTTATATGCTTAAGTTTCATATATACATTGTCAGACTAATAATCTATTTTTTTCTCTCCGCTTAATAACCTCTAAACGCGGTCTTTCATGCTCCTCGTCAACTGAAGAAAGAGGTCTTCGCTCAAACACGTCCATTCCTGGCAAATTATTATTTGAAATTCATCCGTTGAAAGTTTTTTTTCAGTTAAACATAAATTTTTCCACTTATCAAGGTCAGTCAAGATTGGAACGCCGTGGTTTTCTAAAGATTGGTTATTTCATCTCTTGTAGATTGGAACGAAATCTAAAATGGTAATGTCACGCGACGTTTTGTGCACCGAATCAAAAATTCCGGATCTTTATGACGACCACTGTACACGTACAAGCTAACCGTTTCACACATAATTGAATTTATAACACATGTAAAACCTGAATTCGATGTCTGGAAAAAAAAGATTTTTCATGCAAGTAAGCGTTGTTCTCCTTGCCTCTGTGGTGTACTATTGCCTTCAGCCTTAAAAATTCGTATTTTACTTAATCGGAGTACGTATGTAATTCAACAAAATTACTTTTTTTAGGTGGTCACAAGTTCTCTTTGTTTAGCTGTAACACGCATAATTATCGTTATTACATTACACTTGCATTGTGTTTTTGCTGAAATTAAAAACTTACAATACTGCTGCTGAAAGAGAATCTAATCTTTTAGTATGCAAGTGAATAGAGCATTCACATCTTTTTGATGTTGGTTACGCTGATAAAATTTTAATATGACGAAAAACTCTTCTTTTAAAACTGTATTTTCTCAAACCAAATCATAGCGCAGTAATGTTTCAAGTTGGTTTTTTTTGGGCTTTGATAAACAAAGCGTATTGTTAAAATAAAAAAGTTGCACGACAAATACGTACGTAGTACATGATATTTTTTCGCGATGGAATATTAATACTGAAGTGTTTTGCAAGCACAGAAAATTTTTATTCTTCATAATACCAATTTTTTATTCATTTTTTATACATTCAGAATTGAATCTTTTTGTATTTCTTTTCTGTCATCGTAATCATATATCAACATGGGCGGCTTTTAACTGCACGCTTTGCAATTTTACATCCAATAAATATTGATAGCTTTCAAGCTGATTCACCAATGATTGAGAAATTATACTACTTCGTCAGTGGAATAGTTTAAATCTAGAATAGCGCATTCAAAATCAGCAAACAAAATAAATATAAATCTTATTTCAAAGTGGCATATAAGGCAACAAACAGAACAGATGCTTATAAAATAAAGCTTCGCTTCAATTTGAATAAATTTTGCAAATTTTGACAGTCGCTTCGATAATCATAATTAATTTAGAAAAAGCTTCCTTTTTTTGTTTCGGTGTTTAGGTTTGGTTTTTGCTCTTTTATATTGCGCCAGCTTGATTGAGAATTTCATCTTTTAAATATTAAGTCAGGATTTCTGGGTTACTACAAGACTTCCAAGATCGCTATAAAACTTCATGAACAAAATTGCTCTTATGAAAATAGCATTTAAGATGTCATAGATAGTTCGTACTTTGTATAGTAGTAGTGTGCAATGATTTTCGTTAACGTTAACGTCGAATTAATATCACAATCACTCACTCACCACATAATCAAAATTTTTAATAGAAGCACGCTTTCTCGGATTTTCGCAAATCTACGTGTACTTGAGCACTTATAATCGAATTCGTTGTTGGTTGATTATTCAGAGAAAGTTAAATTGTTTCAAGTATTTTTCACAAGAAATGATTTCTTATATTATTATAGTCCATATTTCAAGCACCAGCTTATTTTTTATTATAGAATGTTATAGCAAAAGTTGATGCAATCGTATAAAACAATAACCGTTTAGCTTAAAGTGAAAATAATACATACACTAAGATTTCGATTTCAAAAATTGAAGGTAAAAGTTGACAAAAATTCCAATATGTATGACATAACATAGTACCAGTCCATCATCAAAATCATTCACAAAGCTAAAGTAAATAATAATATTTTTACAAAGTGTGCTAGAAATTTCATCCTTTACCGTTACCTACTATGGATTGTTATACTGTTGCCGTGATTACGGAATATAGTAACGATAAACATGTACATGTACAAAGTTTCTTTTAATTATGCACTCCTAATAACATGTAACGAAAACTTAAAATAATTATTAGCATTGTCCCGTAACTGTAATACCTAAGCAAAATCCTCACCTTGTAATATCAACATTAATGCCACCCACGAAATTCATACAAAAATCCTTTGTAGTATCAACAACATTATTTTGCGATCCAAGATTTTGATTATCATTTGAAATTTCATACCAAATTTCACACACGCACGTCGTTCTATTGCGAAATTCCCTTCAATCATTGATGCCGTTTCGTGAAAATTCTTATAATTCTTTGTGGTATCAACACCAACACTGTCTTCTCCAATAACACGAATTCCTTACAACTTTGCGTTCCAAAGAATGTGATCATCAATAGAAACGCATAAACATTCGTATCGTACTTTATTCTCTTCCTATCAAATTCATCATTTTTTTGTGTTGTAATAATTTTCTTCATTCTTTTACAAATAATAAGTACAATTGATTCTATTATTCTTCGTTTCTAAGCATAATCATGCCCCGCTAGTAAAAATTCTTATAAACTTCAGTATATATATATATATATATAAAGGACGTCTCTCGAAAGTCAGAGAGACAAGTCACTGTGTGGTTTTAAGAAAATTGTTTTTAACTCTTGCCTAAAAAGTATTTCAGCTTTTATTTCTTTTTTATCTCAACAAATTGATGGCTTTATTTCCACGTTTCGTTTGATTCTTTGATGATTGGATTATTCTATCATTTGATTTTGATATCAGTATTCATTTTATTTTTGTTATTTTGAAATAAACCTATTTTGTGCTTCATTAGTAAATTTTTATAGTTATTTTGTTGTTTGAATTGATCTTAAATTTTTGTTAATAATTGCTTGTCAG